CTATGTAGGAGACGGTTCCTTTGGCTCCGGGCCGTGACCTTGACTGGGATGAAGAGATGGCAAAAGCCCAATCACATGACTGTGTTCCTGTTCTTTCGGAACATCCGCTGTATATTCTTTACACATCGGGAACAACAGGGCTGCCGAAGGTATTTGCTCTCTTAGGAATAACTATTTATAGCATCAGATTTCTTTTGCACCAAGAATATGTGATCACTCATTGAAAATATTTACAGACTGTACTTTGAGGTTTAGACATAGTTACTTTTTATCTTAAGAGAAATTTTGAGCTTAACTCTAAATATAAAAAATGTATTTTATTTAATGCCAAATGCTTTGCCTTTATTTCTTCTAAAGTTTCTCAAATGCTAGTGATATACAATTGTATGGTTAGTAAGCTATTAAAATTAATAGATGTTTGATTGAATATCAGTTGGTTTAATGAAATATTATAAAAGCATATATACATATATTTTATTTTTTTGGAGACAGAGTCTTCCTTAGTCCCCCTGGGGTAGAATGCCATGGTGTCTTAGCTCACAGCAGTCTCAGACTCTTGGGCTCAAGCGATAATCTTGACTCAGCCTCCCAAGCAGCTGCGACTACAGGCACCTGTCACAACGCCCAGCTGTTTTTTTAGAGATGGGGTCTTGCTCTTACTCAGGCTGGTATCAAACTGCTGAACTCAAGCAATCCACTCACCTCAGCCTCCCAGAGTGCTGGGATTGAAGGCATGAGCCACCATGCCTGGCCCAAAATGTGTGTGTTGGGGGGAGGATAGGTGGAGAGAGGGAGATTGGTGGGACCACACCTACGGTGCATCGTACAAGGGTACATGTGAAACTTACTAAATGTAGCATATAAATGTCTTAACACAATAACTAAGAAAATGCCATGAAGGCTATGCTAACCAGTGTGATGAAAATATTTCAAACTGTATATCAACCAGCACATTGTACCCCATGATTGCATTAATGTACACAGCTATGATTTAATTTTAAAAAAAAGAAAGTAATGCTCAGGTTATAAAAAAAAGTGTATTTTAAATGAAATATTTTTATTCTTTTAAGTTCTGGGGAGGGGATGAAGAGAAAGTGTGAATGGTTACTGGGTGCAAAACTATAGTTAGATAGGATGGGCAGTATTTGATAGTATACTGAAGGGACTATAATCAACTGTGAGTTATGGTGCTGTACTTTAAAGTATCATTAATCAGAAGAGTGCAACAGGAACGTGCCCAACGTAAAAAGATATAAATGCCTGAGTGATGGATACCCCGATTACCCTGATTTGATTACATCACATTGTATATCTGTATCTAGAGATCATACATACCCCAAATGGTATCTAACTATTATGTACCTATAATAATTAAAACTTGACAATATGGAGTATAGCTTATATACAGTATGAAATTGATTTTTAAATTCAGTTTGTTATTACAGATGTGAGTTTGAGAACTGGTCTAGGCAGTTTGAATAAGAGATAATTTATCAAAATACTAAAGTATTTGTTTTACAGCGTGGACTATACTCAAGGATTTTGAAATACGTTTACCATGAAAGGTGTTCTCATGAAGCAGAGTTAAAAGCATCAACATTCATGAATACGTCAGATATCAACAAACACCACTTTTGCCTGGTATCTCCAGATCACGCTGTTTCTTCATTCAACTTCATAAAGGCTTACAGTGTCATCTTCCTTACTCCTCTTCAATAGGGGGTTCAATATTCATTGGCCCAGAATGTCAGTAGGGAAAGGGACTTTCACAACAATGTCACCCTCCCGGACCGGGCCTTTTTATAAAATAAGCATTCCCCATAGCATTAGAGTTCTGAACACATAGTCTTTCACTAATCTAAAAGGTGAATGTGTTAAATTTAATTAAAAACATTAAGACAGTCTATTTAAAACTCTACTATGGAAAGGAAAAAGTTCTATAGGAGAGTATATTCTCTCTGGGGTTGGTGACTACGTTTCATTATATGTTGGTCTACCTTTGTGCTTTGTATGTAGTTGGTAGTCAATACATTTTTGTTTAAAATATAAATAGATGCACATAGATGAAGATATTTTAGAATTAAAGAGTTATTTCTTTTACAAATCTAACCATTTTAAAAAACAAATAGTCCTTCATTTGGAAGACTTTAAAATTTATTTATCTAAGGAGTCCAAATGATCTGCTGAACAAAATTCTTACCCTCTGCGTTTTACAACCCTGCATCATACACCAGCCACGTGAAGTCCAACTGAAACATTTGGCTGTAAAATAAAAGAGGACTCAGCAAAGTTATAATCTAATATAAAAGTATCGACATGAGACAAAACTCCTGACCCTGAAAACACAGTATAACCTAATATTAAAAAAAAACACTTTAGTTTCTTAAAAGCCTGAAGGAATCTTATAAAAGTATTTTTGCCAGCTCAAAACTTTAAATCACTTTGAAATTTACTGTGGCCTGCATTAGGATCTTTCTGGGAGGGGCAGAAGAAAAGCTTATTGGAGATTCAAAGCTGACTCAGCCAGTATAGGAAAAATAAAATAAAAGTAATATACAGAGCATTCAATTTGAAAAATGATGACTCTGAGGGAGGAAGATTCTAGCTATTCCAGGTTTTCCCTGGATCAAAAAGTTTCTTTTTCAGATTCCTTCCAGTGCTGAAATAGAAGATCCTTTAATGTTCTGTCATCCTCATTTTCCTCCTAATGTACTATCCCCAAGATAGCTTATTTCAATAAATTGGAAAAGACTTTATTGTTCAGGGCTTTCTATATTCACCATGAATTGGACTCAATTCAAGGCATGTGTCTTGAGTGTTCCTTCTGAGCTAGGGCAGATAAAACTATGAGTAAACCTTAGTCCCTCTAGTCTAGGAGGTTTGAAATGTGTGTGAACACAGGTCATGTGGGGGGGAACTTACTAGGAATAAAGGTGACTACATACAGTGGAAGCAAGAGATGAATTTCCAAGGTGTTGAATTAGTTTAGGATTTTACTTAGGATAATACACTTCATATGGTGGATTCAGATTTGGTTCAAGGTCAGCAGAGAGGCAGAGGAGGAGTCCGAGAATTTTAACCTGAAAACACAGGAGGGTGGTTTTAAACATTCAGTGAAACAGAAATCCTGGAGTATGGTTTGAGGCTAGGAGAGCTGGGCCTTTTTGAACACACTCAGTACTCTATATCTTTGGACATTAATATGAAGATTCCCCGTCAGTAGTTGGAAGTAAGGACCTGAGCCCAAGAAGCACATATG